TAAAATACATCTTAAAGAAGAAACAATGCCCTGAAGAGCAGATTTCCAAGGAGACCTTTTATTTTGAATAGTTGTTTCATATGAGCTCAAAATTGAACAGCAAAGTACTGGTTTATCCCAGCTGCTATAGGCAGCATTGCAGCATACCTGCTGGAGGCTGTGTCTGAAATCAAGAAGGACAGAGGAAGATGGTCCTTTCCCAGTTGTTGCTCACACCCTGAAGGGTTCCAGATCCTCTTCTGAGGTTCTGTCTCTCTGCCACATAGCATCAGCCTTCACCAGGCTTTTCTTAGGTGCCTGCGCTCCATGCCCCAAGTCAGGAGACAGTCTAGGCTTTTAGACATGATTTCCCTTGTTTCTGAGCACCCTTGGGCTCTAGGGTTTGACTAAGTCCAACTTCAGATGTGCCTAAATCAGGCTTTCTAACACAAGTTGTGATGAAAATGTAGTATGTGGGCCTTCACCTGTCCTGCCTGCTTCGTTCATGGGGTGACTGTGAGGTTTAGTAAGCAAACATTTCTAACTGGCTTTGGGATCTTTGCATAGGTGATGCTCTAGAAATCCATGGGATTGTAACTCAGATGCAAATTGGCCTGAAATACCGTTACCTTTCCACTGAAGTGAAGGATAGGTCTAATAAAACCAAATTTAATGGAGCGCTGCAGAATCAGACTTTTTCCTAAGGGTTCTGTAATATCTTACATTGTTTCATTTTCATTATGAAGAGGTATTGATCTGTTCTTTGAATCGGGTCTGTCAGCAGAGAAAGTGCAGAACATCTTGGAGCTCATGGGAGGTTGTTCCAGCAAGCTGCTGACCTCTGCTTTTAGAGCAAAATCCTTTCCAAGCAAAAGCAAGGAGTGGAACCATTTTGTCGGTTTGTCAAAGCAGCTTCAGTAAAGTGCTCTTCTTTGGCCAGGTCAGCAGCGATTTTAACCTTGGGAGGGATGCCAATGGGTGCATTTGCATGGGAATGAGTGATTTTCGGCTGTTGATGTCCCCCTTGAGTGTGGCAGGTGGGGCCTGGGAGGGGAGCACCGATGGGAAGGTCCTTCCCAAGGCTCTGTGCATCCAGCAGCCACGTCCAGGGTCGGCATGGGTCTGAGGGCAGTCTTGACAGGGCTGGTGTCTGCCTACTTTGTGACTGTTTCTGTAATGTCACAAGCGAAAAACCCAATGCCTTGCTGTGGCCAGTCTCTTTGAGCAGAACACAGAGTCGCTGCAAGTTTCCTTGAAGGCATGGATTCAATTTAGGGGTCCCAGTTCCCCATGAAGGGATGTAAGGGGACCTCATGGGTTGGTTTAAAAGAAGAGTAATCCCCAGGCCATCAATGGATCAAGTTTAGGTGCAGCAATACAGATAGTTTATTTTGGTTATGTTTTGTTAAAGCTTGTGGGTTTTATTTGGATATTGAAAGTGCTTTTCCTTCTCTTCTGTGACTGATACAGCCCTGCTCTTGTTTGCTAGCGGCCGTGTCACAAAGTGTCCTTAATCCCCAGGAGAGGATGAATGTTTTGTTTGTGGGACCTCTGATCCTGGGTTCCAGTGACATTGAATATCATTCCTAACAAAGGTGCCTTTCCTACTTGCTGCTTTTATATCCGCAGAGGGAAGAAACTTGCTCTCGGATGCTTCAGGCTGGTGCAATTAGAGGGTTAATTTGTGCCGGTGATTGTGTTTGACTGTGGCTGTCAGAGACTCCTCTTGGGTGGCTCCATGGGTTGTGTGCGCCTTGTGCCATGTCCCTTTTGTACAGTCATTAGCAGTCTGGAGGGTATCATTAGTGGTAGGCTTTTATTTCTGAGATGCTTAGCTCTCCCTCTGGAGTTCTGCAGGGATAACACCATCTTCTCCACTGCATGTTGTGCTGGAAATGCAGATCATGCTGGTTTAACAGGTACCTTTCCTGCAAGGCAGCTCTGTCCTGGGCTCCTCTGCAGTGTGTGACAGTGATGCTTGTGTCACTGTGGGCACATTCCACCACTTGGCCCATCAGCCTTTGGCCAGCCCTGCTGAATTAATTGTTCCCTGCTCTTCTCCCTCCAATGCATAATCTGCAAGAGATCTGGGCTTGCAGCAGAAGTTGGTCTATTGGAAAGTTTTTCTGAGACTGTTGATGTCCTTCAGATGAGCCGTTCTGCTTCCTTTCTGCACCTCTCAAACAAGCCAGGTAATGATTTTTCGGGAATCTTTTTACTCTTCTTTCTGCAGCCCTGCATTGTACCGAACTGTACCGGTGGCAAGGCACAGCACAGGAGAGGGTAAGACTCTGCATTTTGAAGCCTGTTTTGGATAGTGTGCAGGAGAGGATGCCCACAGCAGCTGTCAGACTGGGGCTGTAAGAATTGTGTTTGTTCAGAGCAGAAAAGGGATTTCAGGTTGCCTTCACCAGGTTAGCAGCTCCACACCAAACCATTTCTTGGCAGACATGAGCTCTTGCTCTTATAATTTTTATAGCTGTGATGGAACCTTGTTCTGTCCTTCTTCCTTCATGGCTATTGCCTCTGCACAAGGCAGCTGGATAGGAGAGGGGATTTGCAGATAGCAGAAGTCTTTCAAGCCAGCTGGCACAAGATTTTCATTACCCTCACCCAGACAGCATGGCAGCACAGCACGTGGGTTGGACACAGCTCACTGCACCGCTGCTCCTGACCTGCCCAGCCACTTCCCTCTGTGCCCGTCTCCCTCCCATCCCACTTTGTTATTTGAACTGTGTGCCAGGTTTGCAGAAGTGCCTGGCTGACACTGCATTGCAAAGCCCTGGGACTTGTCAGGCTCGCTTCTGAGAGTGCAGCCTGTGCTCCTCTGCCCCTCAGGCACTTGTGCTAATTTTTTCCTCTGAGCAGTTGAGATCAGAGACTATCACTGTCCCTAAAGCTCACATCAGGCATGTGGATGTTCTGGTCTGGGAGACGCAAATGTTCACGTGCTGTTTGGCTTTGATTTTTGCAAAGGATGTGTTTCTTATTTCTTTGTGCAACATTTGTATTGCTCCTGTGCCTAACAGCCAGCAGTGCCCAGACCTGCTGGATACCCGGCTGAGATGGGCACTGAACAAACACAGAGCATCTGGCGAACGACCCATGTTTTTTCTCTACTTTTATTAGATGGTACAAAGGCAGGGAATGTGTTTTACAGGATAAATAGTTATTTGATATGGGAATTGGTTTGTGGTTTTGTTTTGGTTTTTTTACTTTCCTATATGGAAGAAATAATAAAAAGCCTAGAGTACCTGCTTGCCTAGTGTAACTCCTTCAGTTTTCACAGACTTGGCTCCAGGGATGTACTTGGATGGCCCTCATATGTTTGTGGCCTGTATTTGAGAGACATTGGGAATTTTAGCCCTGCAGTATGAGGCAGGATACCAAAACACCTTTGTAAAAGGCAGTTAATCACCTCCTGAAGGGAAACTTCACTCCTCCCCTCACTTTTTTGCCCTCCCTATATTACCATAATGAAATGTCAGCTCGCCACCAGCTTTGCTGTGGAGCAGATGTCTCCTCATAATTACTGTTGTTGCAGGGTTTTCAGTGTTTATCCTGACTGTCTAGCTGGGCTGTTACAGCATTAACTGGCTCACATCACAGCATGACCACGTACTTGCTGTGCGTCTGGAAGAGGATGGAAGCGCCAGTGCTCTCCAGCAAGCTTTTGTCTGCTGGGTCTCCAGATCAGCTCTTTAATGTGCCAGGGACAGCACCCCTGACAGTGCTTTAAACTAAGGAGAGGTCCTTGCAGAAAAAGTCTCTGCAAGCATGACCTCCACTCCCAGACATGGCTGCTGGAAAGCTGGCTTGAAAAGAGCAGAACAATTACATGAAGTTTATTCTTTCTCGGGATGCTCCATAGCACAGGCTGCTTTTGTGGCAGTGTGTTGACCAGGTGTGTAGAGCAGGAAGGGATTAGACCAGCATTTTCCCTCACAAAATGGTGTATTTCCTAGGAGATAGGAAAAGTGCTCATGGGCAGGTATAAAACCAAACATGCTCTGTTCGCAAGAAGGAAGTGTGGGCTGGGGGAGGAGGGAGGCTGGGGGGTCTTGTTCCCCTCGGAAGGACAGTAAAGACTTAAAGGATTTCCTCTCTGTTCAGTACAGTCTCCTGGGTTTTCTGTAGTTCTGCTTTTGGGGTAATTTTATGTTCTGCAAGGTTTTTTTATTTTTTATTTTTCAATTTGTTCTCCAAGTTCCTGACAAGTCAGCCACTTACCTGCAACTCCCTGCTGCTGCTTCACTCAGTTGTCCAGAAATGGCTTTCTTACAGCTGCAGTATTGCTTCCCAGATAGTTTGTAATGAGTGAGCTTTTTTTTGGTGCTGGTGTTTTCAGTGCATCTCAGCCTTCAAGCTCTTTGCAAGGGTTTCTTTCATTTTGGATGTCCAAGCAATTCATAGTGCCCATAATGGTGACTGCTCCATGGTCAGAGGCATCTTTTGAGTTGGAAACACCAACTGATTTCTGAGCTGTTGGCTGGCCTTGGTGCTGGGCTGCTAGTTGTCCTGTTTTGCCTAATTACCTCCTTTGGGCCTGTTTCATTCTACCTGTGGTTCTGCCCCTTTTGATTCGCTTTATTGCATTGCAGTTTCAAAATAAACAAGTTAAAAATGAACCTCTTTGTTTGGATCCATACAACAAGCTTCCCAACCCATCAGCTGGTCCAATGAGGCCAAGCAAATCTGCAAGATTTGAGTAATTTCCTTCTCTGACAGCTCTGCTCGGTCCTGCTGGTTGGGCTATTTTTGGGTTTATGTCTGTTCTTTGCATAATTACTGGTGACAGATGTATTTTGGAGTGTTGTGCTCTGTACATCTCAGTGAGGCACCGAAAAGGAACCGCTATAGGAAATGGTACTTCTACTGCATTATATTGTATATCCAGTAGCAGCCTCGAGTTGGGGTGCCTGAGCTCGCACCTTTAGTTTCATTCTCCTGGAAAGGTTTCCTCTGGGTGGGTTGGCTGCTGTGGCAGACCATGCTCCTACTTTTTTTTTTTTTTTTTTTAGTGCACTACCAGAAGATCATTCACCGGGACATCAAGCCTTCCAACTTGCTCTTAGGAGATGATGGACACGTCAAAATTGCTGATTTTGGAGTCAGTAATCAATTTGAAGGGAACGACGCCCAGCTTTCCAGCACAGCAGGGACACCAGCCTTCATGGCTCCAGAGGCCATTTCAGACACTGGCAAAAGTTTCAGTGGAAAGGTAGGTCTTTGCTCACAGTCTTCTGGGACCCCCAGGCATGGCACAAAGGGCAGCACCACACCTGCATCCTTTGCGTGTTGCCCACCCAGGGGTTATTGTGCAAATTGGGGTTGTTCAGTAAAACCAGAGTTCTAATTCTGTGTTCAGTCCAGGCAATCTCACGTTGGTTGCTCTGTGCAGTGGGCAGACTGACTTTGCTGCAGAACTCTGCCCAGAGAGGAGGCATGTTAGTCTTTTCCTTGTCCAAAGGGAAGGGAGAAAACTCCCAATTCCCTTCCAGAATAATGAAGAGGCACAGGGAGCTGCTGGCCGCCAAGGTCATGTCTTGATCCCCTGAAAGTCAGGGATGCTGTGAAGTGCTGTGATGCGGATGTGGGGATAGGGTCTAGTGTGGGTTTTTGCCTGGAATAAGACTTTTGAGATTCATCTCCTCTTTGATGTTCAGCCCTGAGAGGTGTCATATCCTGTAAGAAAGGGCTGCTTGCTGATCAGTGCACTCCACAGCAAGGTCAGGGGTGGCAGCATCTGGCCCAGCACAGCCCTCATTACCCAGGCATGCTACAGATGCCTTTAGGAGCCCAGCTTCATAGAGACTCTGCACAATAAAACAAAAAGTGTTGAATGCATACAAATAATGTTCTGTGATTTGGTAGGAAAATCCAGCTCATTCGGATCATCTGTGTTGCATCTCATTTACTGCCTGTGCATGCTTTCTTTCAGGCACTTGATGTATGGGCCATGGGAATTACCCTGTACTGCTTTGTTTATGGGAAGGTAAGCTGGCTTTCCGATGCTGGAGCCCTGCATGGGAGTGTCTGCCTGCCTGGCTTTTGACTCATTCCTTTCCAAATAAAGGCAGATTTTTAGTAACAAAGACCTACCTTCTGCAAGCTCCTGTTTTTCCAAATCACCCTGCAGATGAGAAGGGGCTGACATTGTGATCTGTGGAAAGGCTGGTGTCTAGAGTTGGCCCCTGTAGTCAGAGCAGTTGTTTGTGCTACAAACCCAGAGCAGCACCAACAACAGTTTGTCAGGGGGTTATCCATATTGCCAGTATTTAGAAACAAGCCAGATAGAGCATGGAGAGGGGCATAGGCTTGATCCCAAGCCACTGCAGCACTTTATCACTCCAGATTACAGAAAGCTCTGTCTGCCAGAGCTGAACTGGGCCAGATGGAGGCCACTTTACCAGAGCCAGCTCTTCAGAGCTGCCTCTGCAAACTCCATGTCCTGTCATGGCATTTTCCTCTCCTGTGGCCAGAAGCCCCTTGTCCTACCTGTGCTCTCCCAGGACAAACAGTACAGCTGGTACCAGTCTGCATGTGCAGGTACATTACCTGAACCTCATGTCCAAGCATGGACCACTGCAGATCCCTCCACACGGGTACAAGGCATCCAGCTCAGGGGTAAGAAGTGGCTGGGGGAGATGGCAGAGGCAGAACTATCTCCATTGCTGGTGTGATATTGCTGAGCTAAGTCAGGATGGAAAATACTCTCTGACCTGTGTCCATAATGATTTGGACCAAACCCTTAAGTGAAAGGGTATGACCTTGGTTTTACATTCTGTTATAATCTCATGGTGATATTACTTCCCTCTGTGCAAGCACTAGCGGAAGGAAAGGGCATATAAAGCCAAGCACAAGGATATGCTTGTCTGTTCCTTGTGACCCTGTACAGTAAATATTGCACATTTTGTACCTGTTTTATATTTCATAATTTAATCTGGCTGGGCAGTTTGGGACAGGGCCTGCTAGCAGCCCACAGCCCACTAAAACAAGCATATCTGTTCCTTCAGTTTTGATGCACATGTTCACAGGGCCTGTGAATATGCTGCTGCTCCTATCCCCCGCAGTACTCCCCACAGCTCAGTTGACTGCCTGCCAGTTCTGCCTGCGCCAGAATCTAGATCTAAATGGATCTGGTGTAAAAACTTGTGCTACAGAAAAATATGCTTTGAGTCCAGATATCTGAATTTAAGCGGAAACCCAAGTGTTCTAACAGTAATACCTAGCTCCAAATGGTGCTTGTCACAGAGGGACCTTGAAGCAGTGATACAAGCCAACTGGTATCGGTGTCTCCATTTTGCAGGTAGAAATAGACCAGAGAAAAAGAGTAGTTCATGGTCACCTGGTAGGCTGGATGGGAGGGGGCTATCCCAGTCCGGTTATGTATTCCCTAGATCCCTCTGCTGCTGTTCTGTGTTTATTTTTTAATAAGGAACAAATCAATTTCTTGCCTTTGGAAATTTTATTTATTTCCATCTCTGCATAAAATTGAGAGAGAGCAAACAGAGTATACTTCTGTTACATGAATGACAAACGCCTAAGCAGTGCCAGGATCTCTGACAAGTGGAAAATCTTATGTTTGCTTTACAGTGCCCTTTTATAGATGAATATATTCTGGGTCTTCATAACAGGATCAAGAACAAGCCTGTAGAGTTCCCAGAAGAGTAAGTAAACTTTACTCAGCTACTGTAAAATAAAGTTCAGTTTTCAGTGTTATTCACCGTGCAGCGTAAATGCCCGTAGGTCACCACAGAGGGAAAGACAAGGGCAGGCAAAGTATTTTGCATTTTCCTGGGTCCTTCACGTGGGTTTTGTGTAGATGTTGTTGTCAAAGCATTACAGCTGCCTCTGCTGCTCCTCTGTCCATGTTGTGCAGGCAGAGACTAAAGGAAATGGCTCTTCAAATCTATGGAAGTGGAGGTGTTTCAGTATGGGTCTAGGGAGTTCTGCCCCAGCTACTTGATCCTGGAGATGCTGGAAGCATGGCTCGGGTGGAGTTTTGTGTTTCTCCTACATGGTAGCCACTGGAATGATTCAATGGATTAGTTTTCCAAAGCAATGTGGCTTATAGACCCTGGTCTTGGTGTAAGCACGTGCTACTTCCATGGACTTACCTTGCAGCTGGGGGAAGTGTCTGATGGAAGGAGGCTTGTCCTGAGATACCCAACCACAGCTTGGTGCATCCCCACTCCTCTGCCTCCTCCATCCCACTCCAGGAAAATACAGGTTTGTCTTGTGTGCTGGCAGACTGGGGCTACTTATGAAAAACTCAGAAATTAATTTACCTGCTTGATATTGAGAGGCTGTCCCCACCCTGCCTTGGTCAGTGGGGAAAGCCCATGTTGGTGGAGACGGCTGGGCTGTGTGAGGCGGGACAGCCGGCTGCGCGGTCACAGCGCGTCCCCTCTGACCACAGAAGTGACTCAGCGAGGGCAGGGGGACAGGCCAAGGCTGCTCACGGGAGGTTGGAGCAGTGGCAAGTTCAGCGTTGAGGCACTCAGCAGTGAGTCTTTGTGATCTTGTCAGATGAGCCTGGCAGGAGATGATTACACTTGATGTGTGCTCAGCTGCCGTCACCGAGCCACCAGGCTTTTCCTTTCATGTATTGGCCACTCCTTGGCATTTCTTCCATCTGCAGGCCTCTGGTGACTTCCTGTTGGTGATTAATTTGTTTCTCTTGGTTACTATCGGATGAATAGTCAAACCTGGACTCTATTTTCCTCCCCAAATCAACACAGTAGACAGGCAAAGATTTTTCGACCTTCTTGACCCAATTACTCATTCTAATAAAAATGTAGAGATAAAATGACTTGATTTAAAAAGTGAAGAAATTAAAACTCTAATGAAAGGCACATCTGGCAGTAAAGAGGAAGGGAGGGATGTTGTCAGGCAGCCTGCAATATGTGCATGTATCCACCATGTATTACATGAATTTTTTGTGAGATGCTCACTGAATTTTTAGACACCAACAGCAAAGGGCTGGGCCTCTGCCTTGGCAGTCCCAGGCTTCCTTCTGAGTCTGCAGAAAGCAATGGGTGCTCAGGCTGTCCTATTTTAGACATCTGCTTTAGATGGGGTGACTCATGCCCCAGGCTCCAGGGGCTGTATTAATTACCTCTCCATTAACTGTGAAGCACAGCCACTGCAGATAGGGCAGACAGAGCTGTCTCTGCTCAGGCTGTGTGGCACACACCTCCCAGGGACCCGCACCACAAGGTCAGGCCACTTGTTAGATGGCGAACACAGACCCCGGTTGTGGGGTATGGAGCAATTCTGGCAAGCCAGCCCTGTGCCATTGGTGAGGTTTTACAGATAAATAGGTTTCAGGCATTAAGAGCATGAAGGCTGGTCGTGCCGCACTGCCATGTTCCCACCAGTTGCTCTGCGGTCAGGTCAGGACTTTGTCCTGACAGCACTGCAGCAAAAATAAAAAATTGTTTATGTTTCCCTGGCAGTCTTCTCTCTGCTTGCTTGGGTCCTGGCAAAATGCCCATCCTCTCTCAGCCATCATATATTTGGGTTAGCAGTCAGCTTACAAGTGACTGTTCCCATCTGTCTCTGCAGCAAGCTATTAACATTTAATGGGTTGTGCTAAGAACCTTTTCTTCATTCAGACATTTCCTTCAGTGATAATTTGGCTGTATGATTTATTTGGATTTTTTGGTGACCTGCTCTCCCAGTCTGAAAAAAAAAAAAGCTGCACCCCTAGTTAGGTGTTTGGAGGAGCAGAGAGTTACTGGGTGTTGACGACTCTAAACTACATTTATTTGTTAGATAAAGGCAGTAACAGAGACGCACATAAAGCTGGAATGGCCTGGACTGGATCCACCCTGACCTCCCACAGAATTAGCACCTCACTACAGTTAGGAATATTTTGGTTTCAATTTATTTCACCATGGCTACAAAAGTCACATTCCTGTTTGCAGACAGTCCATGGAAACTCATTGCCTGTTTCCTGACAACCTTTAGGACGGAGATAGAGCTGACTGTTCTGGCGTCATTGTCCCTTCCCTTCCCTTAGAGACGCTGGGATAAATATTTATTGCTCTGGAGTTCTCATTCATGTCAGTGAGTCCTTGGCATGACAAAACATAAATGGGGTTAGCTCACACCGTGATGATCCTGGCATGACTAAAAAGCAAGCTGAAGAAGTTTATGTCCAGGCATGTAGTAAGGGAGCCAGAAGCTCAGTGTAGTCCCTTCTGGTGAAGAGCTGAAGTCCAGGACAATGTTCTCTGACCTGCAGGCACCCTGTAAAATGATCTGTGGTGCTGGCAGCCCTCCCAGATGGGTGCTGAGCTCTGTGATGCTTGGCATTTTCCTGAGAGCCATTGCAGGACTATGACTGAGAAATTCCAGATAACGCAGGCTTTCCAGATGAAAAATGTCATCGGGTACAACATGCACCCTGGAAGAATGGAGAGGAGAAAAAACAGTGACAGGGTGACACTGTCTATCACCTGTCCGGAACCCACCTGACACTTTGTGATCCTTTTTACAGTGCTTTTCCTTATGACATTAATCCTGTGTTGCATAGAAATCAATCTGGTGCCCAGAAATGTTATGTGATTATATATAGTCTACTTGTATTTTAAATAAAGCCATTGCCAGTTTGGCACAGATCTGATGTTAAGTATTATAAAAACACCATCCCACCCGCATCTCGGCGTGGTCCTTCATTGAGAGTCTGTTTATTCTGACCTGCTAAATGCACTGTCACTCCCCATAGCTGTTCCTGGAGCTCATCTCAAGAGCAGCACAGTTCTTCCCATTCCCACCTCAGTTGACACCTGCAGTGCAGCCGAGGAAGTGGGAAGCCTCTGAGGACTTATCCTGCGATTCCTCTTGCCTGGGCCATATTGCCCCTGTACTGTGGACCCTTGGCATAACTCTGACAGTGTTCAGGCTTTAAACTGAACCCGCTTCCTGCCCCTTCCCACTGAATGAGCAGTGTTTCCTTGTGCATGGTTGTTAAAGATCCCATAAACAAAGTCCACATAAAGTATTCATAAATTATTAAATAGCAGCTCTGTTTTCATCAGGCTACAATATCCTTTACTGCGATATGGTCTTCATTTAGGTTTATGTTAGTTTATTCCCTCCTCTGCTTGCAGGGGTTGCAGAGGAGGTGGGCACAGCACCCGGTCCTCATCAGTGTTTTCAATCCAGCCCTGCTGGGGAGTGATGTTTTATGCTGCCAAACCCCATCTCCATGCAGAAACGCAGCTCCTCAAAAGTAATTTGTGATACAGCCTTTCAGCTGCCTGATACAATTCTGTTATATGCTGACATTTTATTTCAGTAGCACTTTGATCATACAGGTCAAGTGTGTTTTAAAGACAATGCCTGCATCATTAGCAACAGAAAATCATTGAAGCTTAGGCTGGAGTGACAGACAGCAGGACCAAGGGCTCTGTGTAAATAGGGTGGCTTTTGAGTACAGGCACTAGCATTTAGATCTTGGAAACGGTGTTAAAAAATTAGATGTATTTCTCGTAATCTCATCTGTTCATTCCCTCCTCCTGTTACCCCAAGGTTGAGCTATACAGGTAGGAAATACCAAGCTATCGAACTGGCTGCCATCAGTGTCGTTGGAAGGCGTTTAATTAACACAACGTGCAAGCTTAGCTGGGAACTTGAGTGTCAGGTGGGGATGTTTCTTCCAGCATATGGATGCTCATGATGCAGGTTTGGCAGATTAAGTCGTGCCCTTCTTGTTTCGTAGAGCCCAGCTCCAGTTCTGCTCTCAATAACACTGTGTTGTCCCAGAATCTGTCCTCTGAAATTCCCCTGTAATGTGTTGTCTTTAAAATAGTCCTTAGATCCTTTCACCTGATCCCTTGTCCTGCATTTTGAGAGCATGTAACTGTGTTAGTGGGCAGAACAGGATAACCAAACCCTGGAGCAGTGACTGTGACGCCTGAGAAGGAACCAACAACTAGACCTTCCTTTCTCGAGCCAGGTTTGCAGGGAAAATATCTTCTGAGCAAATCCTCTACCAAGTAACTGCAGTAAGGACTGTGCATGCCTTGAACACTTACAATTCCCATGTTAACTGTATACTGCTATTCTCTTTACTCAGAGCACAGATAAGTGAAGAACTCAAGGAACTTATCCTACGCATGCTCGATAAAAACCCAGAAAGAAGGATAACAGTCCCTGAAATTAAGGTAAATTGGACATCGGTATTAGTCTTTTGTCTCAGCTGATTTTGTTGTTCCTTCGGTACCTTCTCATGAGGCAGAGTTGTTCTTGGTGTTTGTTTTGGGAGCTTTCTCTGGCATGCCGCCTCGGAGAGTGCTCATTTTGCAGCATGTAACAGCTCTGTCACTGCTGCTTGCTTGGGGAATATTTACAAAAGCTTTCTTGTTTACTTATTTAAATTAAAATCACTCAAACTGACTGAGCCTCAGTGAATTCCCAGAAGAATCAACATTGTCATGGGGACTGCTAGCTGCAGAGCTGTCAGTGCTGTCAGTGTTGGACCTGTGTTATGGGAGCTGGAAGTGTGTTCCTCCTCTGGTGCTTGCAAGGTCAATGGCCTCAAGGCAGCACATTTGTTTCTGTCAGCATTACTTACTAATAGAAAGAAAGGGTAGGCTTGGTAGAGCACAATGCTTCACAGGGTTTGGCTTCATTCTGGTTTTGGATGGGCTTTCTGTCCTCCTGTCACCCATCACCGAGGCCTCGGACCTGCTGGAGGATCTTAAGATTTCCACAGAGATCCATCAGCATCCTCTGCAGGCATGCCACTCGCTTTGTCTCAGACCAACACCAGCATATTTACCACCAAAGCTGACAGTAGGAAGGTTGAGCCTCAAGAAAAAATGTGACGTTCCTTTCATCCATGCCCGGGAGGCCACAGCCAGTCATGGTGGGAAGTCCTTTGGAGCTGTATTTAAGCGTTTTGCTTGGTAGCTCTCGCAGGCATTTCATGTGGAAACCCATGTCCTGTAAGACCCCTTGGGGAGAAGAGCAGAGCTGGGTGCCGGATCTTATCCCTGGCTGTGCACTGAAGGTGCTTGCTGCGCTTGAGGACTTGTGTTCGATGCTGAAAGAGCATGTGTGTCTATGCCAGGCTGGGCTCTGGGCTCAGCCCAGGGCTTTGAACACAGCTTTCCTCGTGTTCACAACCAAGGAAACCATCCCATGAGAGAGAAGCAGTAGAAAAATGGCAGCTTTCCTCTGCTGTTCCCACAAGTAAGATGATGGCTGAGCAGCTTCTTGGCAGAGGTGGCTGTGGAGTGACTGCCACCATCACTGAAGGCCCTGGCCAGAGGAATCCAGCCCACAGAGCACAGGAGAGCCTGACGTGCAGCTGATGCAGTCCTGGTGGGGAGATGGCACACTCCCTCTATTTGTATTCACAGACAAATCCCAAGGAGCTTTTTCACTCTGCAGTAACATATAGCAGGCCATGCAGCATCGGGGCTCCAGTCTTGGCTTCTTGCATAGTCAGACGTTTCTAAGTGGCTGCTCCAGGACATCTCCTCCTCCTTCCCTTTTTGTTTTTCCCCTGTTTTCATACTCTTCTTTCTCTTTCATGTTTCTTACATGTAAGATAAAATCCTGACAAGGCTGCAAATGTTCTTCTGCTGGCAGCATTAGCTCCATGCTGTGTCTTATAAGTGGTCATTTATCACTGTGATAGATCTGTGATGTCTACATTGAAGATAAACATGGCAAGAGTTGGAAGGAGATGGTAAAATTATATAAGGGGGTTAGGCTGGACAAATATCTTAACTGCTTTGCCCAACTGGGTTTGGAACTACTGTTCACCATCAAAATAAATCAAGTAAATAATTCTGTATGAGGAACACTGAACATATGGCTCGACAGAGTCCTCTTCCCTAGCTGAAAGGTTCGCAAGCCCCAGGCAGGCTGCAGGGCTTCGTGCACTGGTTTCACTTAAGGCTGGACATGGTGATGTGCCTTTGAAAAGAGTTGTTATAAGCACAATTAATGATCTTTGGAAAACACAACTTAATTAAATGCTGTAAAGCAGCTCATCACTAAACCCTTGGAGACCACTCTGGACACCTGCATACAACTCATTGGGATGGCAGTAGGCAGTGAGCATCCATCCTAATTAAACTCCTCGTCCTGGAGCATTTCTGGCAGTGACATTGGATGATGCTCTCCCGGACAGGCAAAACGTCCAGCCCTGGATGTTGGTGGCAGAGACCTTTACCCCATCCTGTTCTCAACTCCCTCCCTCAGCAGCAACATGGAGGGATGGTGGGAAACTGCCTTCCCTCTCCTTTGTGGGTGTGTGGGGGTTTACATGGTGCCCAGGTGGCAAGGTGTGTTATTTTGCCTCTTATGTAGGTGGGAGGCCACTGCAGTAGCACGAGGCCTCAGTGTTCAGATGCAAGTACTCCATTTTAAGCACCTCAACCCTTGTTTGTGCAGATTTGTAAGTGATCTCGATTCTCTCAGGTAGCGAGCACACGTAATCCTAGATGAAATGGATGCATAGGAGAAAAAAAGATGAAAATGCTTTGGATTAACTCATTTTCAAAGCCTTTCAAGCTTGATTCAGAGGGTGCTGGGCTCCTCCAAGGTGCCAGACAGTGCCAGTGGGTGCGACAGCACCAGGCATTAGGGGATGCCATCTAACCAGCTGCCAGATTGCAGCCATTTCCAAGGGAGCTGGTTGAAGCACATCACTGGAGATGGAACATGGAGCAGTGCTAACAGCTTACCCCCCTTAATCAGTCCTGTGCCCCTGTTTTCCTCCCGTCACTGGCACCATAGCGCTCTGCTGTAGATGGGAGAGCTGTCTCAGCGTTCTTCCCCACGCAGGTGCATCCGTGGCTAACCAAGGGTGGCGAGGAGCCCCTGCCGCTGGAGGAGGAGCATTGCACAGTGGTGGAGGTGACCGAGGAGGAGGTGAAGAACTCAGTGAAGACGATTCCGAGTTTGCCAGCTGTGGTATGTATAAACCACAACCACATCCTGTGCATGGGTAAAGAGCATGGTACTTGCTGAAGCTTTCAACTGATGGAGGAGGTTTGGAAAGGGTACCTATGGGCTCCTGGTATGAAAAGCTTGGCCTTTCAGCCCAGTGTGAACTTTCTGTGTCTCTGAGTACTGCAGCAGCCTGACTCTGCAGGGCCTGACTGCGTGAGCAGTCCTGTTTATGTCTGGCTGCTTTCATAAGAGCTGTAGGGTCACACCCCAAAGTGTCTGGCATCAGACATTCCAAAACACCAGAAGCATCCCAGGTGTGTTTTGTTTTATTAATCTAAGAGGTTCCTAAGACACCTCATTTGGATGCTTAGAATGAAGGCTCCAAACCTGGAGGTGTGACCTGGCCAGAGAAGCAGGGAGAGGACAGATGCATGTGCCTGCCAGCCTCGGGGACTGCAAGTGGGTGTTGAGGGCACTCTCAGCAGTTTGTGTATAGCCAGCTGGAGCTCTGCTATGGGCAGTTACTACAATGCGGGTGCCTTTAGGGGGCTCCTCTTGGGGAAAGAGGTGCTGAGCACAACAAGGACCTGTTTTCACAGTTCTTGTGATGTTGACATAGACACCTGCCCCAACAGCCAGCTGTGGGAGTTAAAACCATCTTTTCCCCTTGATAGCAGGATCTTTGCCTTTGAACCCACAGGAGCTAGCATCAGCCTGCAGGCAGTAGTGCCTGCCTGGGAGGATGGCCCAGGAGACCTGTGGCACTTCCCCCTCATGGGCTTGGACCACCACGAGTGGCCAGCAGTGGTCAGCAGCACCTGCTTTGCCTCTGGCATCCAGAGGAGCTCACCGCACAAGGGAGTGGCGTTGTCACTGCCTGAAAGTCAAATAGTTGTTCTGTGGGTTCCTTTAGTTCATGCTCTATCTGTAATGCTGTTAAATGTGTGTTGAGTTGTTGAAGAAGCTGTTGTCAGAGTCCTCTGAACTAGCTTCAAGGAGTCAGTCCTGCAGTTCTCGCTAATCAGTTTTTCTTTCTCAAAGATCCTAGTGAAGGCCATGCTAAGAAAACGTTCCTTTGGAAATCCATTCGAGGCTCAGACGAGGCGGGAGGAGAGGTCCATGTCTGCACCAGGGAACTTACTGATGTATGTATACACAGCCTTTCCGGGCTCTGCTGCACGTGCAGAGTAAAGGTGTGTGGGGAGGGTGAAGGAAGCAGTTTGCAAATGTTTGTGTAGCATTTAAGGGTGAAACTCCCTTCTAAATCAAACACTCAAGGTAAAATCTACCTCAAGTCCTCTAGGATTAAAATAAAATGCATTAAAGCAGCCTAAATAGTTGCAGTTCTCGCTGTAAGGTGGGTTTGGCCTGAACACATGTACGGTCTGGTTTTTAACCTGTTAGTTTATAATACACTGTGATCAAAGATCCATTAGAGATCGGTGAACTGAAATAAGTTTGAGTCTAGTCTAGATATGTATTGGAGGGTTTAATTCTTCACTCCTTTTTATGGACAACGAAAAAGGTGCCAGATGAGAAGTTTGAATGTTTTATAAACTCAAAATGAGATTATGTGGTTTGTCTCTGGTCCGGGGCCCAAGTCCAGGCAGAGACACCATGAACACACTTGGGCAGACAGTGGAGAACACTTTGACATTTTCATTTGAGAAAGCATACAGTGTTTTTTTCACGCTGCCAGCTATGAAATAGTGGAACGCATTGTAACGGGATATTTGGAGGCTGGATATAAATGGCTATATTAGGATTAAAAAGGGAATAGACAAATTAATGCCTGTTGGATTCATCAACAATTTTTAAATACAGTGGTCTGGATGTACAGGGGTAGTCGGAACATTTCTCTGTCCTTTATTTGATTTTTTACTCTTTCTCCCTCATTTTTGTTACCAGTCCCTTTTGGAGCCAGGATTCTGGGCCATTAGTCCAGTAAATAACAGCTAGACCGTTAGCCTGACCTGGGACAATTATTTTCATGTTTCCACCCCACAGGATCTGTAAGACTGTGGTTCACAACAAAGCTGTGTTGTCCCAAAATGATGCTTTTCCACTCAAAATCCCAGTACCATGGCTAGCAAACTCCCACGAGGGTGTGCTAAGAGTCTCACCACACCTTTGACAGTGCAGATGGAGTGTCTCTTTCACAGGTGTGTGGGGATTTAAGGGCTCAGCTCAATTAAGGATGCTAATGCTTTAGGGCCAACTGTGTATTGGAGACTTCAGTAAAGTCTTTGCCTTTGAGTTCAGGACCAGTTAGTATTAGACCCTGGGTTAACATTTAAACACCCCATACACCAGTGCTGCTGTGGGAACACAGATGAAGAGCATGGCAGTCACAGCTCCTTTGCCAGCTTAGCACAAGGGATTTGTCCTCATTGACTTCCCTTGGCTCACTGCCTTCCAAATTAGTTATTGCTAATTTGACACATGTCCCTGCCTATGTCTTCACTGTCCTTCCTGGTCGCTCTATAGCATTGCTCTGAGATGGGGAAACTTCTACTAAATTTGAAGAAAAACGTATTGTATGCTTCCCACTGTCCAGGACAGACAATTCAGAGCAAGGTAGGATTTATTTTCAAACCCTGCCTGAATTGATATTTCAAGGCGGTCTCTTCTAATACCCTGAGCCTGTTTCCAAAAGGGACCTGTTCCCTTCCACCTTCATCTGGGATGCTTGAAAGCCCCTGTCGTTAACCACCTGGTGGGAAAACTTCATGAGCCTCCATGCTGTGCCTGGTTCCTGCCTGGAGTCAGGTGCTGCTTTATCTGCTCAGAATAAGTAAAGTTTGTTAATCTATAGCTGTGTAGTTTCTGATTAGCCACATTATCAATGTCTAATCCATTTTTAAACCTTTTTAGGCCTTCAGGATGAACTGTAAGCCTCCACTTTTGTTTGTCTCCTTCCTAAAGTTGCTAGTCATATTATTTTCAACTTATGCAAAACCAGCATCTTTCCCTGTCTACTAATTTCAGCCCCATGTTTGCATTCAGGCTCCTTGTACAGGACTGAAAGGTTTTTGAAAACCATGTATAATTTCCACTGTTGTTTTGCTGTGCCCAGCGCTCTGGGTTTACAGAAACATGTCAGGTCAGTCTAAGAGCTTAAAAATCAAAAGAGAAAAAGTGAACGGTCTTCGGATGTGCCAGTTCTCCACTGCACTAATCACTTCATTTCTCAGTCTCATGCCATCAGTGACAACTTTTAGCAGTAACAGTTGACTTTATCCTAAGTTAATTCATGCACAACTGGAGCTTTGAGAACCCATCTTGAAACCCTTCTGTTTAAAAGAAAGACATTGGCTAAATCTCTCCAACATATAGTGTTATATATTAAACACTACAGCAGGGATGCTTTTTTAAGGGATGGGGATTATTATTTCAAACGTTGAAAAATGTTAAACTGGTTGAATCTAATGAAAATCACTTCTAACTTAAATAGATTTGTTGCATCTAATGACATTGATTTTAAGTGAACTGAGTCTAAATGGGAATGTTTCTTGTTCAGTGAGTTATCTCTTGATTACAGTGTTATCTCCACAGGGGCAAACAGAGCTGGACACTAAACCCATCTAGTTCTTAATTCCTAGTGGGTGGTTCTCTAGTAAAAATACCCTTAATACAGATATAAGATAGAACAGCAGTGAAATGTTATGAATAGCACTGTATTAGTTAAAACAGGTTTTGAGTAAGTGTGGATGACTGCAGCTTTCTAGGTCCAAGCAGGAGCAGATATTGTTGTTCTAGCATAAAGGCTCTGGACAATTCCTTCATGTCAGACACTGCTTCCACCCCTGGAGTTGGAGAGGGGACCCCAAAAGTGGGACTTATCAGCAGGGTAGTGCCTGCAGCCATTGCTGCTCTCTGGACACGCTGCTCTGTGGTTGCCTGCAAGGAGCTGAGCAAAAAATGAGCCATAAGTTCTCAAGCTCTCCACCACAGAGCTGCTTCTCCCCAGTGACAGTGTCTTTAGAGAGATAAATCAGCTTTTGTCGTATTGTATCTCCTAGTTATAGGTAGAAAATAACTTGTTGTGTTTCTGTGTAAGAAAGAAGAAAAGCAATTAGAAAACTCCAGTTTCACATTCAATTTATTTAATTAGGCTGCATGTGAAATTGCCAGAGCCCCACTCACTGCTGCTTCAAGCATCTTAACATCTGTGCCCATACTGAGAATGTATTTTGCAGGAAATCCTCTGACAGCTGAGCCTGCTTTCTCGTATTTGATGCCCAATTGATGGTTCTTAAAATGGATCTGTCCTTTAAGCTCACTCTTTGGGATTTGGAGAGGAGGAAACTAAATCATGCGGTTAAATCTTTTTTTAATTTCTCCCCTGCATTACCTATTCACAGTGTTCTGGGCTCTGTTCTTGGAAATGCTTCGTACAGAAGCTGCATGTGTAGAAGTCTTTGTGATAGCAGGAGGTCTTTCATGTTTGCCGCAGCCTTTGTTCCTTTAGAGGACACCATTAAGATGCTGGTGACTTGAAATGGTTTGTAAATTAGTACTGGGAGGAAAGAGGGCTTTTTTAGCTCTCCTTAGATCTGGAAGAAGCAAATCCTCTCCTGGGTGTTATATATTGCTTTAATAGCACAGAAAAGTTAAAAAGGCAGCTGTTAAAATGGCAGGCACATTCAGCAGGTAGAAGGGAACTAAAATGAAGATGCTCTGCTTAGCAGTTCTTGTTTTGCAATGGCTGCCTCTCCCACGAGAGCACTTCCCCACACCTCGAAGCCATGTGTGAGTGCTCCTGGCTTTCTCTTTACCCTGCGAGCTGCGTGGGGGCTGCGGCTGGGGGGCTGCGTGGCACCGGGTCCTGCCTTTAAAGCTTGCAGGATCTCCCACAAATGCAGCGATTCACTGAGCCTTGCAGATCCTGCGCACCATGGCCAGGTTCAACCTGTCTTTAATGGTGGCTGCAGAACCAATCTAATTTTTCCAGTTGCAGAGTATTTTTTTAAACCGAGCTGTTTAGTGCTCACAGCTAAGTTCTGAGTTTGTTAGCAGTGTTTGCTACATTTCTTCTGCCTGCTTCAGATTTCTCCTAATTGAGTCAGCACGGGCTTCACCACATTTTATTACTCTCATTTATTGCAACTACTACCTATCAAATTAATTGCTGTGTTTTGACAGACCCAATTTACTTTTCCATTATGCCTGCTATTACTATTGATGAAATGTGGTTGTCAGCTCCTGTATGGGGGATCAGTCTGTATTTAGAAAGCCTACCCTGTTTCCAGCCTTCCCAAAAAGAGAGCAAAAGAGCCGTCACTGCCCTTAGGGCCATACTGTCGTGTAGGCTAGACATGAGGAAGGTGGGGGAAGAAGGAGCAAAAAAGTGACTGACCCAAGTCTCCAAGCAGAAACAGCTTCTCCCAACGCAGCCCAGAGGTACCTGCCTCCTGGGGGCTCTGTGCTGAAAGTCCCAGGGCGTAGTGCCATAGGGCTGCTCCAAAGCAGGCTGCAGAGATCCCCGGGGCAGCCAGGCTTACAGCATCAGCTCTGACAAGCACTTCTATCTCATCATAAGCCAGTGCTGCCACCACCACCACCGGGGTAACTCCAGCCCCGTTCCCACAGGTGAAACCACAGGACACCCCGTGGTGCGTACATACCTTCTGTATTCTCTCTCTCGAGCAGGGGCACGCTTACTCCTAACAGCTGAGGTACTAGTCCCTACAGGTGGAGAGCAGGACGTATCCTCCTTGAATTGCTGGAACTGTCAGGACTTGGTCTTTGCTAGAGCTCGGGGTCTGTCTCTCCAGTCTCAGGAAGATTTTGGATAGGTACCACATAGATGCTGTCAGAACAGAGTCAAACCCAACCAAAAGCTGTACCAATTTTCACTGCAAAGAGAGAACGGCATGTCTGGTAGGAAGAGCCAAGCCCCGCGGCGCAGGTAGGTATCCTCATCGTCCACCTAAGGATTTGTGGCATCAACTGTGGCACAGGATTTTCCTCTGGCAAAGACCCACGGTCAGCAGGACCCTGCAGTGAGGTCCCAGCACTTGTGTGGCTCTGCCTGCGTTGAGCTCAGCTGCTGCACCCCCCATTGCACGTGGTGGCGATGCCGTGACAGTGATAGGACACGAGGCCTCCGGAGGTGCCGGAGTGCATGGCCCAGGGCAGCACAGCTGGACACCAGCAGCATGCTGGAAGCCATCTGGAGCCTTCAGCAGTGGTAGGGCTGGAGTGGGTTTGTACCAGTGCTTGTCTCATCTGTCCTTCAGGCTGCAAGTAAACAAGACTGATGTGTCGTCCTCCATTTCACTCTGCTCGCTAGGCTTGTTAGGTACAGAAATATAAGCTCCTTTGCCTGCTGCCATCATCTTCATGATCACTTTCTTCCTTTGTCTCATTGTTTTGCTCTCAGGGACAGACTCCTCTTAAATACATCTGCATGTTTGCATCCATCTTTAAGGTAATTCAGTGTTTGTGTTTCCCCTGGGTGCTGTAGAAACGTGTGTCCTCTCCTCAGCCTGTGTGATTTGTGTGGTAGTGAGAGCATTTGGCTCCATCCTTCCTTCCTGTAGGAGCAATTTTACTGCAGTAATTCTGTGTGTGTGACACTAATGTTTATGTATGCTTTTTTTTATTATTATTATTTGTGGTTCTTTGGCATTTCAGCCTTCTTTGGGGAGGGAGGGGTGAAAAAAGCCAGTTGGGTTTTAGCAAGAACTGCTGCTCAGCACAACAATCTCGTAGGCTATAGCTACAGATTTTGAAAAAGGCTGAGCTTTGTAATTTGGGCTCAGGTTTAATATTTAGTGGTTATGCAAATGAAATAGAGCTAGAGCCGTCTCTTCTCCAGCTGCTCTGCCACTCCCGTGCGCTTCTGTCTCTGATGCTGTGCTGGGAGGGCTCTGGGCTAACCGAAATCAGGCTCTCTGTGTGACCACCCACCCCCCTCAGCCGGGACTTCATTAAAACGGTCATTTGTCTGCACAGACCCTTCTAGGAAGCTCTTGATCCAATTAATTCTGTTAAATAACAAAATAACATTTAATGCAAACTGCTTACAGACATCTCAGTGTGAAGTCTCAGGATCTAGTGCTTAGGCAGGATGCAGCCTCCACCTGGATCTGGGGAGACCTGGTAGTGCTCAGAGACCAGGGAACAGCCACATGCTGCTCAGTACCTTTGAGAGCAGCCTCACGACTCTGGAGACTGGCTGGCCTGGTTTACTGCTCCCAGGCGAATGGGTGAGCTGGAGTGAGGATGCTGCCCGCTCCAAGTGAGGAAGGACTTGCAAAGATTCTCCAAAAATAGGAGAAGACAGGCGGAGGAGGATGGGGACTGACATGACACCATCGGTGACAGCTGATGCCACTGCCTGCTGCTACACTTCCCATAGAGAACTTTCCCAGAGAGGAAAGGGGACTTCACTAGCCTAGAGGAGGGCAGATTATTGGTATTTAATGGGGGCTCAGTGGAGGAATTAAGCACTTACCAGGAGTGTGTGTGTGTGTGTGTGTATGATGTGATTCAGCTCTTTGTAGGTTGTCCCACTTCATCCCTGTCCTGTGCTGCCTGTGTTTGAGGGGAAGAGCTGAGAGGCTCCTTCCTTGCTGGGCACAAAATACTGTGTAAATACTCAGGCTGTGATCCTCCTGCAGCTGCTGTGGTTAGCAGCGGCAGGGTCTCCTGGATAATTGCACAGGTTGGGCTTCACTCACTTGTGTTAAAAAACAGCAGAAATACAGTCTTGTTTCTTAAAAGAATTATTTGTTGGAGATTGATGTTCAGCCACAGGCCTCACAGCACGAGCCCTGGGTCCCATGCAGACTGCAGAGTGCTGATGCTGATCTCTGCCACCTTAGTGCAACCCGAGTTTAGCTGGTATTTGCCACTGTGCAGGTGTCAAACTGTTTTGTGTTGCACCCCTCTTGCCCTGCCGCAAGGTGCTGGGGGAGGCAGAGGCTGCTCGGGGCAGTGGGGGAGCACTGAGCACAGCCCAGGCACAGAGCAGGATGTGCTGGGCAGCTGCGGGCAGGGACCTGTGCTCTGCCGGAGAAAGGAGCCCCGGCTGATGTGTGGGGTCATCAGTCATCTAAAGAGGCTGGTGACAGGCACCAAAGATGCGGCTGTTCATCAGCCTCCCCCCTGGGGAAGTGGTCCATGCTCCAGGTTCAAGGTCAGGTTTATCACAGGGCTTTGCTGGAGCAAAGGGAGATGGGAACATGAATTTTGATCATTTCTGGTTTCTTCAAAAAATGGTGTAGAAAAGAGATCTGTGTGTGCTCTCAATGTTGTTCCCAGCAGACAATAACCCCAGAGCCCCAAACCCACACTTCCCAACGCTGTGAGCTCCAGGCACGTGCAGGAGTGCTGACTCTCCCCTGCCGTCCTCGCAGGCTGGTTGTGATGCAGCCAGGCTGGCTTGAGCGAGGCCAGACACCCTGGGAGGCAGCATCACCTCCTCTACACTCGCTATCATCACATCTTCATGATGGAGAAACATCCATGGGTTCAAGTCATGTGTCAGCTGTGGGGTGTTGTGAGTGGCACCTGGAGGTGTCACGTTTTTTCCCTTCAGCCCAGAGTAGTGACAGCTTTCTCTGGTCAGAGCTGAGTCAGGGACTGTGTTACGGATGGCCAGCAGGATGTTACTCCTCAGGGATGCCCCCAAGTGCAGGGCTGCTGTGTACGTGTCTGCCAGCACAGCTGAGGCTTGGCCCAGGCTTTGTCAAACTGGCTCGTTCACCTCAGAGCCTGTAGAATCCCCCAGCCCGAGCCAGCAAAATGTTCCATCAGCCTAAATGTCTCCGCTCACACTTGAGAGTGATGCCCTAAGCAGCTCCGAGCCTGCCTCCCCACTGGCATGTCCCATCCCACAACAGCAAAGCTCAAGTCTTTTGCGTAGCAAGACACTGAAAATTAAGAGTGGGGCAACAGGATTGAAGGTATCATGGCGTAGGTACAATGCAAGTAAGTTACTTTGGCTGTGTTTTGGGGACTGCCGCTCTTGGGCTGAGCAATTTTGGGGACCAAACTCACAGAAACTGAAATCAAACAGCTCTTGTGTAGGGAAAACTGGGTTCTGGTAGAAGCATTCAGTTTTTATTGATATTTACAGTGGGATTTGGAGAAGCAGTTATGGCATCAAGCCATCACTGTTCTTTAGAAAAAAAAAAAAAAAAAAAAAAGATTAAAGAAGTGCAAACCAGAACTCCCTAAATACAAACTAGATCATTTGGAAACATTGCTACTGCTCTGCAAGAGTTTCTCCAAGAACCAGATGCCTCCTTGTGATGCTGCAGCCAGGAGAAGGGCATTCAGGGAAGCACAAAGCCCAGTCTTCAGGGTGCAGAGACCAAGCAAGAGTCTGGGCACACGCTGCAGAGCACTGCAGTGCATTGAGCAGGGATACTGCTGAGCTGTTTACGTGGTACCACAACAGCAGGCTGGTTCATTGCTGTTCCCTCTTAATATTGATGTGTTGACCTGGGTTGCCTGTTGGAAATAAACCCTCCGCTTTTTTTCTCCCATTGCTATGTGCCTATAATCTCTTTATTTCCTTGCCATTCATGTAGAAAACAAGGGAGCAGAGAAGGAGGCCGGGATCCGGAGCTGCCCGACGTGTGTGAAGACGAAGCCACGTCCTGAAGCCACCTGGCTGCCGCAGGCTGGTCGCTCACGTGCTGCTGCTGTTGTGCCCATCGTGGTGTTGTCTAGCGCACATCTGCCCTCATCACCAAGTCCAGGGCCTGCAAAGTGAGAAAAACAAAACCAAACCAAACCCAAAAACCCCAAAACGGACCAACTCAGAAAACCAGAAAAGAGGAACAGAGCAGCAATAAGGAGAAGAGTGAGTCCTCGGGCAGCACGGCTGGCAGAGGGCTGGCTCAGCCTCGTGGACGGCTGCGTTCCTCGTGCAAGGTGTCCGTGTGCTCCTCCATGTGTGCCTTGCTCTCCACTTGTGCTTCACGTGTGGGCTTTGTAGTTGGGTGTCTTGGCCGATGAATGTGGTTTTATTTGTAACGCAGCAAACCAAACATTGTCTCAGGGGTTATTTGCCCCAGAGGCTTTTTTCCTTGCTTTTTTGCATTCTCTATTTGAAGCATCAGGAAAAAAAAAAAATTACATCAGAGCCAGGTTTTGTATCAGAGTGCAACTGTTTTATCTAATGAACAGGGAAAGCACTTCTGTATATCAGGACACAGTCCTGCTTCTGTTGGAGCTGATGGCAAAATTTCTGTGAATATCAGTGAAGTGAGGATGAGGTCTTGCTTTTGGAGTGAACGCTGTCACTCTACGCCTTTCGCTCTTTTTTTCCTTCTCCTCTTATCCCTCAGTTTTGCACAGTGTAAATCCTGCCAGCATCGATGGCTTTAGTCAGGGCAGTGTCGTAGAATAGAAGAACCACACGATGTTCCCTGTAACATGCCATGAGCCTTTGAACGTCGTCAAGATCTGGGATACGCTGTGACACGGAAAGGCCCAGTGCACCGAAGCCATCTGCTAAGGAGTGTGCTCTTCCCAAAGAGCCTGACTGCACCCCACAAGCTGCACCCCTCCTGTGCACACAGGCGTTGTTCTCAGAGCTGAAAAGCAGGCAGGTTTGGGATTTATTTTATTTAAGGATAACTTCCTTTCCCTCACTCATCTCTTAGCTCCTTTAATATTATGTACCTGATGCTATTAAACTCTAATTTCCTGATAAATGACCCAAACTGGGAGAGCTCCCTAGGATGGAAAACATTGGTGGAGGATTTTTAGACTAAGAAAAGCTACAGAACACAAATGAGATCAAAACTTGATCTTTTGTTTTTTAAGGCTTTAATTTTTAATTTTATTTTAAGACTGTAATTTTTATGCACGTGCTGATGCTGCTATTTTATCCATAGATTGCTTCTAAATTTGAGATTAGAAGCTTCATCTCTACGGTTTGACAACAGGTGAGAGATTGCACTTAAAAGGGCAAATGCAGCTATTTCAGTGGCTGTTGACTATACAGACTGTGTGTATAATCAGGAATTTCACTCTTGCACTCAAAGAGTAAAAACCAGTGATATCAGTCCATCAAAATACATGTCAATATTTCCCCTTGAGCTTTACGGGGTCTGAATATGCCCCTGGAAAGCCAATGGGATTGGGTTCTTATTTTATAGTACTTAAATAAAGGACACGATTAAATTTGGTTCCTACATAATCTTACTGTCTTCTTTTAGGTTAATCCTGAGGGCTTGGGACTTTGTTCCCTGATTTTTTGTGTGAAAGGGACATGTGTACAAGGGTTGTTGGTAGTGACTGGTGCACTGGTGTTCCCGTTCTGTTTCCTGCAATGGAGTTTGGTGGTTCCCAGCATTTTCACAGCTGGGCTTTGCTGCCCATCCCCAGCCTGCTGCCTCCCCTTGTTCATCTTCAGCCCCCACAGTGAGGTGCCCAGAAGCAGTCCCCAGCCTGGGCTCTGCCGCACATCTCACCTGTAAATAGTGGCAAATTGGGAGATAATATTGCAGCTAATATATTTTATTAAGGAGACCTTTAATTTGTAAAGCAGACAAAGGTGTTAGATCCCATAAAGATTACTGCTCTGGGCCTGTGCTCTGCATCCCTTGCATCCAGATGGTAAATGCTGCCTGCCTTGGTGTGTCTGCCTGTGCGCTCCACATCTCCGAGGGCTGTGGTGCAGCCCACGGGGTGACACACTCCAGCCTGTGCTTGGATCCTACTGCCTCGGAGTGAAGATTTCAGCACCCGGTGAAAGGGAGTGAAAAGGGAGATGGGGATTTGGTAAAGGCTGAGAGCGCAGCGGGGGCTCCACAAATGCAGCGGGAGGGACCGGCCGGGAGGAGCCCCTGCCTGCCCGAGGGGTGGTCTTGGAACACAGACGGGTCTCTGCTGGGGTGCCACCAGGTGCTGCTGCACCCCAGGGGCTGAGCTGAGCAGTGGGAGCAAACTGTCCTCCAGAAAAATGGGTTCTCTCCAACTGGTGTCCCCAGGGCTGGCTGCGGTGCTGGGCAAGCCCCCAGCCTGCGCGGAGGGGTGGCTTCGGGACGAGGACGTGTCTCAGGATGTTGCCTTATTCCCGAGAGAAAAGGGAGTACCAGGAATCCAGTACCATGAGATTTCTGAGGTCTAAGCAGAGCTCTAAGACTGCAAACATGGGGTTATTCATTGCATTTTTAATATATAGTAAGAATAATTTGCTAATCCAGTCAGTTGCTGGGGTTATTCTAATGATGACCAAACAAGTGGGAGCTAGCGAGGCAAAGCTGCTGAAGGCTGTTTTCAGCCTCAATTAATGCAACCAAACGAATCCTAATTTACAAATTAGTTCTATGTCATGTTCCTTTAGTGTAGCTAATGTGCTGCTTCAGTTTTGGAGAGGAATGGGCGGAATGGGTGATTTTTTGGAAACCTACTTTGAAACATTTGCCCTTTCAGCTGAGAGAAGTTCTTCTGGAGCTCTTTACACAGCTCCAAGAAACAACCAGAGTTGTACAGCTGAGCTTTGTCGTAACTTCAGCAAATCTGACAGTCTTGTGGGTCTTTCCTTTATACTTTAAGAAATCATCCGTATTATGTTGCAGACAGCAGCCTGAAATTTGCATGAAATTAAGAAGGTGCACTAGCAGCAAGAGAAACACTCGGATTTATTCAAAGGTTTGGTAGAACTCCTGCAAAAATATGCTCTGCCTCTGGCTTAGCTGAAATGAGATCCTTGCTTGTTTATGTGCGTGTTAGGGCAGCTCAGAGCAACGCTGTTTCTGCTCTGAAGAAAGGAAGAGATTAAAGAGAGAGTATTTATTTGAAAATAAACACCTCTGGAAATCCAGCCCTTTTATCTGTTCAGGAAAGTCATTCTCTTTAGCTGGATGGATAAATATGTGTCTCGCTTCTCTCTGTGAAGGAGGGGATGGGGTTTGGTGCAGCAGGGCTCCCCGAGCAGCGAGAAGAGCTGGCAGCAGCGCGCTCTGATGCTTTTGGATGTGCTCTGTATTTTTTCCCCTCCAAATCCTTGCTTGCGTGTGCTAGTTGCGGAGCACCGGCATCCTGTGAAAAGAGTTACCAGGATGCTCCGAACTGTCTTGGCTGGGCTCTACATCCCAGCAGGGCGGCTCCTTCCCCCGCTGCGTGATGGTATGGTCAGCTCGGGTCAGCTTTGGTTGGCTTTTCCAGCTTGGGGACGGGCCCAGGTTGAGGAACCTTGATGAAAATTTCTCTTTCAGGGAAATTGCACGTCTTTTTGACTTCCTGGAGGTAGATTTCTCTCTGTCTTGCTCAATTAATAGCTCTGGGCCTTCAGTTTGGGAAGTAGTACTAAGTAAAAATCCTGGTTTAGTCTCTCCTGTCTGGTGCAGAGGAATGCTGCAGTGAATGTCTTTAACCCTTTGGGCAGGAATACATTGCTATGAATGTCACGCAAATAAATGAGGTTTTCAGCTCTTTAATGATGTATTGCAGCATGTGAATGGATGCATGGATAACCACTCACAGCGTTTATAAGGGCTCTGCTTTGGGCAGTGGTTTTCCCAGTGGTGCATCCGTGGGAGATGGCAGCGTGGGCAGACGTGGGGTAGCCACATGATTTAGCGCTGGAGCAGGAGGTGTGCAGAACAGAGAGGGTGTTTGTGGGGTGTTTCCAGGTGTCCATGCTGCTGGGGGCAGAAGGAAGCCCTGGAAGTTGAACTGCAGCACTGTCTCTCCAGCGCAATCCGTGTAGGAGCCCGTGTTTGCAAGAAAAACTAAATCACCTGCAGTAGTAAGTGTGACTGGGCTGTGATTTTTTTTTTTTTTTTTTTTTTTTTAATTTTTTCAGTGCCTTGAGACACAAGAAGCAAGCTGCACAGCAAAAGACTGGGCTTTCTGAAAGATCAAGTGCACACATGTCTTTGACATGTTTTCTTTATCTGCATTTTGAGGGTGGATAAGTCAGGCCTGTCCTTTGCTGGTCATGGAGGCATCAGTTATGTATCTTGTTCATGTCGTATCTGGGACCAACATCCCCTGTCCAGATGGTCGTTTTTGCATCTTGCAGGTTGCCAGTTAGAGAAATCTTTGAGTTTCAGAGCTGAAAGTGCACCTGGAGATTTGAGGGAGCACTGCAGGTCTGCAGGCGCGGGGGCTGCAGCCCCTCCCACGGCAGGGAGACGTGGGGCGGTTGGAGATGGAAAATGGGGCAGCTTTGGGTATCTTCTGTCATGTCCCCTGTGACACACCATGAGGGGAACACCTGATAAGTACAGGGTCTCTGGCAAGCCCAGCAGGCTCCTGCCACTGTGCCCCTTCCAAGGCAGGCAAAATGGTACAAAAACCCGCTGAGGCTAAAGACACCCCCATCTCCTTGCTGCGTGGCATTGCTAACCCAAACTGTGTTGTTTGGGGGTGTTAGGAAGGGTGGTTTGACAAATGCTGCCCTGGAAAATATTCCTGGGGAATAAAACAGGGATGGTGGGAGCAGCCAGCGGTCAGGGCTGGTCATGGGAAAGCTGATTTAGTGTAGGGGCACGTTCAAAGGGAGCCTGCCGGGGGGACTGTGGAGCTGCTCCATGCAAAACGAATTGCAGCTCAATGAAAGGACTCCCAGGACGGGGTTTAGTTTCTTATTTATTGCCAGACTTGCAGCAGGGAGCTGGTGGGAGGAATTTTATGTTCCTTCAGCATGGCTCCGTCTCCTGAAGCCATCAGCAGTGCTACAGCAGGGGCTGAAGGAGGTTTTTCTCAGTTTCTGTGGTGTGTGGCTGGGGGAGCTCAGCTGCTCTCTCCAGCTCAGTGCTTTCCCTCATATCTTGCCCAAGAAGGCCAGGAGCTTTGTCCCACCAGCCCAGGGGCTTCATCCCAGCCCCTTAGAGACCCAGGCTCTCTCTGAGGGTCCCTCCTGGCTGCCCTCATGCTCAGAGCCTTCATCCCCCATCAGCTGCAGTGATCAACATCCCGTAGCTGGTGCTCTGGGCTTTCCTACGCCGAGCAGCACCATCAGGCAGGTGAGAAGCTGCTGCATGGTTGCGAGTCACCCTTTGGTGATGCAGCTCATTCAAGATCTTCAGAACAAACGCAGCCAGGATTGTTGTGTCTCCAGAGTTGTCTGTGGGCAGACTGGCTGTGTGAGTTAAAAGGATCATTTATGGTCTTAGACACCTTCACCAGTGATTTCCAGGAGTAGAGCCCACACCTTCAGTGTTTTGCTAGCTGCTTGCTATTTCTTGTTCTGCTACAGTAAAAGATGGTCCTTCTTCCTTCTTCCGGATGGGGAATCTCACCTTTGTGTCAGATGGTGATAGAGGAAAGGCTCCTTTCTGCCCCGAGGGGATGGGGATCTCAGTAAAGGTGACAATGTTTCCTAAGGAAGGAGGTCTGTGCTGCAGTGCTGGGGGTTCTGCTGAGAGCTTGAGCCCGTTGGGTGTCCAGCAGGAATACTGGACACTGGAAAGCAGATAGTGGGTTGTTGTGTGTATATATAACTTAGTTTGGGTACCAAACTTGTGCGCTTTACCAGGGCACATTTACAGTGTTGTTTGCAAGCAAAGCAGTGAAAGGGGTTTCTTTCCTGGCCCAGAGCCTCCTACAGAAGACCATGCTCTGATCAGGTCCCTCCCAACCTGAATTAACCCGGATTACCCCATGACCCTGTTACTCTGAATGCAGCCTCCCACAGGACCAGGGGAGGAAAGCAGCTTCAGAGCTAGTCGCTGCCTTTCACCTTCCCTCCCCTGAAGGAAAGCCATGTACGCTCAGAGTCACTGCTAGCGGACACCCTGTCAGTAACCACAAGCCATCAGTCAAAGCATTCCAAAAAACCCAGTGTAAATTCAAGAAAAAATAAATTGCAACTTTTGAAGGTATAATTCGGATCCTCTGTGCCGTAATTTTGCTGCTGTTTCTGATTTATAGGCCTGTTCTGTTAGTATTTAAGTCTCTTGTTATACTTGACGTTAAATAGATGACTCTGTATGTACTCTGCTATAATTCAAGCATGATGTATATGCACTCAGAGCTGTAATGGCATGTGGCCGTTACACTGTAAATATGTACCATGAATAGAGAGGCTATTTTTTGCATGCTTTTGTACTCTAGAACTGAAGAGAAAATGACAATAAAGTCCACAGAAATGACACTCCGTGCAAGTGCAGTTCCTAAGGCGGCGCTTGCTGCTGGCTCTCGTGTGCTCTCTGCTGTTCAAGCCCTCTCTGTGCTTTTAGCTGCAGCAAAGAGGGGTTTACAGGGCCTCCACCACCCCTTCTCTCCCTTCCCTTTCCCTTCCCTGTTGGGCTTTTCCCTGGATGAAGAGGCTCAGGGACCTATCGTGCTTCAGTACCACATCACCAATCATTAGAGCACCTTGCAGTAATGTCACCTGTGAAGCTGTCTTGCCTTAATGGCATTTTCTTCCCAAGAAACACTGTGCAAGTTGCTTTGAAGAGGGGTTGGCCTGGGCTAGAGCGAACTCAGCATCTTTGTGGTGTCTATCTCATCACCTGTCATTAATGTTTTTCCCAAATGGACACAGGATGGGCCCAATACTGGACACATGTGTTAATTCACGGGGATATAGGCTGTTGGCACCTTCGAGTCTGAATGTGAAGGACACAAGGTCCAAAGCACTTATAGTGTCTGGTCTGTTCACTGGGACGTCCTGGGCTTTCAGTTCTCCTGACACCTTCACAACCTGTTCCCAAGTACTGCAGTGAGCTGCCCAGGAGGAACTGAGTCTCCCTGAGCGCAAGGGAACAGCCAGGCTCAGTGTCCCCTCCAACAGCTCATCGCTCGGGGGGCTCAGTACACAGTCCCTTTGGTTAAGCAAACCAGACTCAGCTTCCCCTTCCCATCCATTTTTTTGGCTTCACAGTCAGGGGGCAGAAATGGGGAGATCAAAACCTTTCCAGCCGGAGATGATCTCACACACAGGTCCAGGTCTGTGGTAGTGCCCAGACAGCAGAAGTAAATGGAAGGAGAGTCTTGGATGCACCATATCCTGAAGTGTTTTTCCAGTAGAGCTGTGCTGTTCACTGTTGTGAGGAGGGGATGTGCTGGGGGACAAAAGCTCAGTTTTGCTGGATGCTGTTTCTAGATGCTTCAGCAAAGTCTCCAAGTGTGGGCACAGCTTTGGAAATCCCTGATGTCCTGTTCCTCCCTCCCTGAAGAAAGCAGGAGCCCGCTTTGTGCCCTGAGACAGTTGTGTGTCAGGAAACTCATCCTGTCACAGAAACATCCCTGTCCGAGCCAATCCTCACATCTTCCCGGACAGCCAGCAGCTAACAAGGCACGGCCATGCTTCAAACTAGGATGTTACAGCTTCGTTTTCCCATTCTGCCTGCAGCAGCAGACTGCACACTGACGACTGCTGTTTCCCAGCAAACCACACTAAGATAAAAACTTGCTCTTTGTTTTTCAAACACTGAACAAAAAGCACTCTTAGGTGCAGCCTCAATTAAAACAGCAAAGGGTTTTGCTTGGATTTATACATGCTATGGGCTTTATTTCTCACCTGGGGGTGTTTATTCCTTACAAGTCCAGTCTTTGTGTTTTTGGTAAGGGAATGGCCCCCTCCGTGTTGGCAGCGAGGATGGGTGGCTCGGCTCTCCCAGAATCACCGCAGAAGTGGCTGGAGCTCCGTGGCTGCAAGGAGCAGGGGCTGACTCGGTGCTGGAAAGGAGAGGACAAGCTCCATTGCCAGCTCCTGTGGGCTCAAAGCAGCTGCTGAACTTCACTGTACACTTTTATCCTTGTCTTTTTTTTCCCCCCTCAGTTGGGTTTCCTAGCTTGTTTCTGGCACACCAACACCAAATTAGCGACTGAAGAGGTGAAACCCCCTTTGGGGCCGGGTCACTCAATGCTGCAGCAATCCTGACCGGCCGAACCCAGCAGATGAGGAAGGTACCACATTGCCTTGTGCTATCGGAGAGGTGGTTTGTGTGGTAAGCACAGAAAAACATGCCCAGATGTGCCCCAGTGCCATAGCAACGGGGCTGAACCCGCTGCAACAACTCACGGAAAACCACTCCGTAAGAGGGGCGGCAGCAGCTCGGGTGTGCAAACAGGGACATTGAGGACTCTTTAATGAACAAACACTTTTGCTGGATTAATGCTATTGCCCGCTCCCACGCTGGGTGGGAGCGTTTTGTCAGTGAGTAAATAAAATATTAAAGTCACATAACTGCTTGTTACCCAGGGATAACGGCATCCTGGTCCCACCTCGGCAGGTCACATCGCCACCATCACACATCCAGCCCCGAGACATGGTCAGTGATATGTCCCAGGCCAGGAGATGCCCCCAGGGTTTAGGGTCATTTTAGGATCTCGCTGGGGACTCAATTTGAGGGTTTATCCAGCCAAGTAAATGGCTTGAAAGCCACTGCCCCTCATTTTCTTTTACATGGGCTGTGTTTCCAAATGGATTTCTTGAGCAGTAGGTTATAATTTAGTGCTTATTATAATATTCATTGAGCTGACTTTTTCTGTAGCATTATACCAAATACTAATTATTAGAAATTAAGGTGACAAGAGGGAATAACATTCTGAGTTGTGTGAGTAATGACAGCCCAGGAGGGATAAGTGAGGTAAAGCAGCAGGAGAATTTCCTTTCTAGAGGGAAAAGAGAGGTAATAAACTCCCCAGAAGCAGGTGCACAGGAGCCACGGCTGCTGAGCAGAGGGTGTGCAGAGAGGTGCCGGGCAGGGCAGCTGCCGGGAGGAAGGGGACAAAAATATTGGAGTTGCTGGTGAGTGCAAGCAGAGGGGTCGCAGGCGTGGGACCACTGGGTCCAAAACGTTCAGCTTTGAGGCATCACCACCTCGCAGGATCCATACAGGGAAATGAACTCCAAAGGCTCAATCTTACATTGACAGTATTTCTCTAGTTCATTTGCTTAGTTTATTTTTTTTTTCCCTTTTCAGGCTGAAAGTAAATTTTCTATGATGACTTCCAACAAAAGATGGGAGGACGTTTCTGCTGGGTCCGATATCAGATACCAGTGCGTGTCCTTGCGAGCTGCAGGTTTGGGTGCTGGTAAGCAGTTGCTGCGGAGTCTTTGGGCACAGTCCAGCTACAAATAGGTGGTGGTTTTAAAAGCCTGAGACTTTAGTTACAGCCAAGGTGGAGCTAAACCAACCTCTGAACCACACTTTGTCATGCCAAGTTCTGTCCTGAGAGCCATGACTGCCACTTAAACTGCAGCTCTGGTAGGAGGGATGGAGGTGGGATGAATGGCTGGGGAAGCACCCAGAGCCATGCTGGGCTGGGCGAGGGACAGGCTTTTCCTGTCCCCAGTGAAGGGGGAGCCGTCAGCCCTCAGAAGACATGGCCCCAACTGGGAGTAACCCCATTATAAACTTCACCCTTTATTGTTATCCCTGCTTCTCTGCTCCAAGCTGTGCGGCTGCCCCCCAGGCTTCCCTCCACCAAAGGCTGTTGAAGCACACTCCATCCTTCCTATGGTTTAGCGGTGGGGAGAAAGATCTCACGTGAAAGCGATCCCTTTATTGCCAAACATTTCCAGGATTTGTCTTGTAACCTCCTTGAGTAGGAAAAAAACCCTTTACCATGTTCTTTTCTAAAGCAATTTCCAGGGAGGATCAGCAGACACGGCCAGGAGCCGGCAGCATCAAGCCCTGACCGAGTTTCTTCGCTTGATTAAATCAATGTTTTGCCACTAATGTGATCTGAATGCCCGTTTTCTGTGCCCCATTTATTTTAATGTGGGGGCTGGGGTGCAGGGGGAGGCAGCACCAGAGCAGCTCTCTGGAAATCCCACCGAGGCGCTCAGCCCATCCCATGTCACGGTGTGTGATGTGGTAACACATGGGGGGAGAGTGGCCGGACACACCAGCTGGGATAACTCACATCTCCTGTGGTGCCTCGCAGCACCCGGCTGTCTCCCTGCACCCCCGCCAATCGAGCTCTACTTTTTTTGGCAGAGGAGGTGTCTCAAGGCTGTGTTTTGGGAAGGGGGATGCTCTTGCTTAGTCTAGGCCAGCCAAAATCCCTATGAAAAAAAAAAAAATTGGGCATAATAGGTGGGTTTTTTTCATCATTATAACAAGATGGTGTTGCGTGAGCAGCTTCTCCCTGCCCTGTGGACCCCTCCAGCCCTGCTGCAGGATGGGGACGGGGATGGGGACAGATTGCCGGCAAGGGAGGGAGCTGACCCACCACCAGCTTGAGGTGAAGCAATTAAAGTGTATGGCTGCCACCGGCGTTTCCTGCCTGTAATTAAAACTTTTAATGAGGAGGCATATGGTAACCCCTCTGGCCCCAGGCTGGCATATTGCCAGGTGTGGGTTTATTAACGGCTACTAATTACACTGTCACAGTGTATATGTTGGGGAGGGCTGCATCGCCTGGCCCCAAGCACTCCAATTGGCTGTGAATGCTGTCAAAAAAATTTTAGTTTTATTTATATTTTTTTCCCCTTGCTTCAGAACCTTGAAGCCCCAGGTGTTTGCAGGGCATTTTGGAGACACCACCACCCCTGGGACACAGCTCTGGCTCCTTCCCCACTAGACCTGACCCCCTCCTCCATGCACAGGGGCTGCAAATCCGGCTGCACGTTCTCCCCGCAACCAGCTTTTTACTCGTGGAGTTATGATGAAAACCTGACAGGCCCAGTAGCTGCAGCGGGGCTCAAAGCCTTTCCCCATCCTGATGGTGCATCCGGCTGCTGGGATGTCCCCGGCCCCCGATGGCTCCCATGTGTCTCCGGACCAGGACTGGGTGTTATCCTGGTAAGAAAACCAGTGGCTGCATTCCCCTTAGACCTCAGCCCTGCTGCTGGCATGTTTATTGGACTAAAAGCACTACAGTAAGGCTGTTTTCCCCCTCTGCATAAGGATCTTGGTAATGCTTTACAACAACTGGTTATATTTTTTACATCAGCTATTATAAAGTTCCTTGCTCCCAGCCTGGGGCTCTCTGAATCTTCCAGCTCTGCACAATCATTTGGAGAAAATTAGTATTAAAATCAACCACGTGGAAGTTCTCCCCTTCCTTTAAAAGCCAGTCCCTGCTCCCACTCCTGCAGCAGCCTGGTGCCATCCTGTCTCTGCCTGCCCTGTCCCTGTGCCGCTGTCACGGATGGGACAGGGGCTGTGGCCCGCACTGTGCTGACAGGCTGAACAGCCTCGCGAGGGATGGGAGCCCATGGATAGTGGGACAAGGATGGACAGAGGCCACTGGGGATGGAGTCGGGGTATGTGAAGCTGCTCACTAATATCTGGACATCGAGGGGCCCCACAGACATGAGCTCGATTTGGGGCTGGGAGTGCCCCTCCAGTACCGTTAGAACCAGCAGCTGAGGGATGAGCTGCCACAGCACCGAGTGACGCTGGAAAGAAAACCCTGTGGCCTTGGCTGGACACAGTAACACTGCGTGAGTGTGTGAGGTTAAGTGGGGGGTTGTCTGGGCTCTGGGACCCTCCCTGGCAACCCGGGATTCAGGCAGCAGCAGCTTTGGCAAAGCGGCGGCGACAAAGTGCAGCAGCAGCTCCCAGGTTTCTTGCTTGAGGGTGGTGGGTTCTGGCCAAAGGCATCTCCTGCACCGTTCTCTGGAGCATCAGGAAATAATTTATTTTAAAATACTTCTTTATGATGACTCGAATGACAGGAGTGCACATGGCAGGACACAATTTTGGGGAGCAGGTAGGCAGGGACACTGCAGAAGGGCACAAGGCTGGTGCAGGTACAGCCTGGCCAGAGCCCCAGCACCAGCAGGGCTGAGCAGTTGCTACCAGATTTACTTGTTCAAGATATTTTACCTTTATGACATTAGAGGGGATTTTGCTTTAGCACCATGATACAGCAATACAGGGAAATACAACACATTGTGTAGCGATTGCTATGCCCAGTACAACCATCACGCCCAGTAGTGCTGCTCACCCACCGCTCCAGTTGTGAAGAGGGTGCTGGAGAAGCCCTTGGCACTGTGCAAGCTGCCTGGTCGGCAGAGGAGAAGGCACAGAAGTCTGAGCACAAATCAGAAAAATTCCTCTTTAAAGGAAATTACAGTGTCAGGGAGTGTAAACTGCATCCTGGTCCAGCCTTCTGCAAACATGCGCGTGCTCCCTCGTGGCAGGTGATGAATGCCCAGACAGTGTCTCCTGCTCGTTAAGGGTAAAACAACTGACTTACCTCAGGAGACAGCTGATGGCTGGTGGTGCACAAGTTCTGAGGGGGGGGGATAAACCCACCTCTTCCCCAGGCGAAGCCTTGGGCCGGTCTCCTGGTGCCCTCTGCTGCAAGGCGTCCCCCGGCTGGCAGCGCGGCCCTGCCGGGGTGGCACTGGGGTTTTGGGGAGCCGGGGGGGCTCCTGCCCTCCTCACAGTGGTGAGACTCGGCTTCGTTGGTGCCAATTTCATGCTGTGACAGTATTTTCAGTTTCATGCCATAACGTCGGCATTAGGCAAGGTGAGCTCCTGTGAGCATTACCCTCCCTCCATTAAAACTTCTGTGGATATCCACTTCATTCACCATTTTACTGGAAATGCTCTTCAAAAAGGATTTTTAATGCTTATTTGGATTTCATAGGTAAGCATTTTTTAAAATATCGTTATTCCCTCCCACAAAACAATTGTTCTTCAATATACTGCTACCACATATGTTACTGAAATACGCTGGATCTCCTGGTGAGACTTTTTATTACTCTTTGGGAAAGATTATATTTGGCCACACCCTTCTCTATGTATTTCCCCCCCCCTGCAGTTAAAGACTTTTATTCCTAAAGGGGATTTTATGAACAAAAAAGGAGAAATTAGGTTACAGGATGTTAATAGCAGTTGAATTTCAGAAGCTGGTTTCTCCACAGGGGTCATGGCAATTTCTTTTTTAATTCACAGATCTGCTCTTCTCCATAAGTCGTGTATTTGAACTAAACGGTTTTGGCATCAGACCTCCAGCATTTAATTGCAGCTGAAGAGAAGCCTAAACAAAGAGCTCAGTGTAATAAATGTCCTGTTGAAAACCTCAATTAGCTGTAAATGGCTGTCTTACCTGTTCGTTTTAACCATTTAGTCATGCACCCCTTTTTGGGAAATAAATCCCTTAAAAGCTCTAACTGGAGCTGAGAAGTCAGGTCCCCTTTGACGGGGCAGTGCCCACAGAGCGCTCCCGAGCGCCCAGGCTCACAGACACACTCGGGACCGTCAGCGGCGGGACACTCCCCCTGCGGGCGCAGCGAGCCCTGTGGTGGGGTTAAAGATTTCAGATCTCAGTAGTGCCTTTCCCACCACTTCTTCCTCCTCTTTATTTCTAATACAAGATAACTTTGAGGACTTCAACGAATATATCGCGGCCTGAGGAGATGTGGACAGCAATCAGGCTAACTGTGCCCCGAAGGGCAGGCAGCAACTTTGTCAGATTCTGGGGTGTAGTTCTGCCCGTGTGAAAACGTTCAAGAGCTCTTCAGGCTCAAGTTACCACCTCTGTTTCTGAGCAGATTTTTCAGATGCCGTTCTTTACAGTTTAGCATTAAATGAAACAATATCTACAAAATTGTATTCAATTTACAGACCAGCGGCTGCCTGATTTCTGCAGCAAAGCTGATGGTAACAGTATAAAATGAAGACATACTTTTTCAGCAAATTATCTACAGCAGACATTGTGTTAATCAGGACATTTTTCTACTCTTCAAACTTCAAGTTAGAGAATATTAGATAACTTTTAAGTCACTAAGTCGTTTTCTAAACAAGCAACTTGATTCCCTGGTTTTCCCTCCGCTGCCCTCTGGCCTGCACAGACTGACCCTCGCTGCAGAAGTCCAGAGATCAGCATCAGGAATCTCCTCCGTGTGGATTCCAGGAGTCAGCCACACAGCAAGGACATGTGTGGTTAAAGAAAGAGAGTGGTTTTACCCAGCTGATTCTCTACGAAGGTTCAGAAGTCGGGGGAGAAAGAATTGCAAAGTGTATTTTATACTTTTAATGCATTTCTTAATTGCAGTAACTTCTACATTATTCACAAATTTAATGTCTTCCAAACATTTACGCTAGTAAAGTAGAAATCAGTATTGATATTTTGTGATACGTCCATAGCGGAGATTCAAAACCTGCTGAGGCCAACAGAATGATGTACAGAGAGGATAATGTATTCTGAGTCAAGTACAGATAGGAGCTTAAGTGACCTCAGAGAAAACAAGCATACCAATCTTCACAACATTTCTACAGGAAAATCTCATTAAACACAAATAAAATTACTTTTGTTATTTAGTAGAAAAATAGGACACTGGAGAACAGAAAGAAAAACAAACAAAATATGTATATATATAAAGCAACATAAGCTAAAGTAGGACAAGGTGATCGAGTTGCTCATTTCCTCCAGTGACTTCTAGATCTTCGGTCTGTGGAGCAGCGTGGTGTCCTTGCTGAAAGCAAACACAAGCTACCTCTTTGCAAACATATGTGTAGTGGTAATCAACCCTGAAATTTCCACAATTGGGCTGACATTCAGTATTGAAGCAAATAGATCTATTTCCCATCAGAACCTCGACAATCACTGTCTCACTCTTCTCTACGTGCTTCCCAAGTCGTTGGCTTTTAAAACACGGGGAACGGCACCTTGGCCTTAAGCAGACACTGCTCATGGAGTCGAAGTGTCCTCACTGACAAAAACATCCACTGTCACCGGACCTGGCATCAGGCTGGAAACACACTTACACATTCTTACAGGTCTTACTTAGATGGTGTTTTTTAATAATTCTTAAAATAAACAACAGCAATGTTGTGTTCAAAGTTAAAAGTTCCTAAAGTCAGGAAGGTACCTGCACAGTCAGGTTATCCAGCCCAAAATTTATTCTCAATCACCAGTTTTGGAGAGACATTTTACAGGTTTCTTTCTTCCCCTCCTTCTCCAGGGAGCTGCTAAATAGGTGCAAACTGACACAGTTCAACAGTTTTTAGTCTAGACCCCAGTTGGATTGGAGGAGTAAGAGATTAGGGGAGATGTTTCTGGAAAGATAAATCCCTATCTTTTAAAGCAAGATGTCTAAATGATTTTTGTTGCCTTTTCAGAATTTCCATTACAATAACTGATCTTGCTTCTTTATCTTTTTGCTTTTCTCTTCAACATCTTTCAGCACATCTTGCAGTCTCTTAGCATTCTGTGTCAAGAAAGCAAAGCTTTCTTTGAAGTTGCCAGTCCCGTGCTCCCTACAGATATTCTCAAGCCCATCAAACCACTGCAAAATCTTCTCAAGCTCAGCCTGAACAACCTTCTGTTCTTCCAGTTCTGCTCGCAGCGCCTGCCCAGCAGATGCCTCAGCCCTGTACTGCTTCTGCAGCTGCTGGATCTCATCCTGAAGCGCCTGGAACTGCTCTTTGCTGTAGGGGTACTGCTCGTGGACCTTGTCTTCAGGAAGGAGCACATTCTTAGGGATGTTTAACACCAGCTGCAGAAGCACTTCTTCCATTTTACTGAAGAGTTTGTCAAGGTGCTTCTTCATGAAGAGAAGAAATTCCTCTGTACTTTTCCGGATTTGGGAGGGTGTGATTTTACACCCAGGAAGCGCCTCCAACTTCTTCAGGATTACAGTCTCAACCACCAGCATCACTTCGAAGAGGTAGTCCTGGAAGGCGATGTAAACGCGCAGCATGCACGTCTGGGGGGTGAAGCCAAAGAACTGCGCTTCGTAGGCCATGGGGTTGACCGACATGGTGGCGGGGGAAAGCCGGGAAGGGCGGGAGAGAGAAACGCAGCCCCGGGGGAGACGGGCCTTGCTGTAGGCGGGAAGACCGAGCCCGGACCTGAGAGGAAGCCGGTTTCCACAGGAGGCCCAGCGCAGCCGCGGCCTCCCGCGCCGCCACTGAGGCACTGGGGCCGCTCCTCCCGCTCTAGTGCCGCAGACCCAGGC